CTAGCTAAATCAAGGGGGTTGTACTAGATTAACTTAATTTACATTTCTAACTTAAAAAATATGCAAATTTTATAAGATAATTTATATTTTAGATCATTAAATGTAATTTTTAATTTTTGTTTAAATTAATTAATAAGAACATGTCACGTAATAAAAAAGATAAACAGCATGTTAGGTTTTTTATTTTAAAAATTATTGTTGTTAAATTTAATCCCTAAAAAGTTTTTTAATACTAAAAAATAAACAATTTTTTATAATTTAATTTAATTTTGTATTTATTTAATATTAATTTCATTCAATATGAATTGACATATGTCATCATCTATCGAATGAAAAATGAGAAAATAAAGATGCCAACAAAAATAATTATACGTGGTAAATAAAACACTCAACTAGACGAAACCTTTAAATTATTCTAATATAAAAATTAATATTTAAAATATTTTTTGGGTACATTACGCATTTAGTATCTAAATTATTAATTTTAATACCTAAATTTTTAATTTTTTTTAAAATCATATTTAACATTTAGTTTTAATTTCATTTTAGTACCCATCCTTTAAAAACTTCAATCATGCATAGTACCTAAACTTTTATTTTTTTTCAAAACTTAACGTTAAATTTTGAACGGTGTACTAGAACGAAACAAAAACCAACGTTTTAAACGGCGGAGTACTAAAATGAAACAAAAACTAAACTTTAGGTGTAATTTTGAAAAATAAAAAAATTACTAAAATAGATCAAAAATAATAATTTAAGTACTAAACACGTAATTTATCCAAACTTTTTATATACTTTTTTGTCTGTGAATAGATGCATGAAGTGCATTAAATGATGGACGAACGGGTCTCGTACTCTCTCACGTACCAATTTTAATAAATTTAGCTAACGTATTTTAGCTAAAATTACAAAACAACATGCATATACATGTGAACTCTTAACATTGAACGATAGAAGCAACAAAAATAGTCAAAGTTTGTTGGGGGATCATGGACACCTTACAACCATAAACTAACAAACGAATTTCGTGATATTTCTTAAATATTTTTCGGTCAACTTTAAAGACATGGATTCATGCATGTCCTTATATGGCAATCTCATGCAGAAGCAAACCCTAGATTTGCTACAAGTATGTAATCCCATAGATTAAATTATGAGCCACTGCTTAATCAACGTGACGAAATAATGCATGAAATTTCCCCGACCTAATCCTAGTGGTGACATTTCAGCCACATTTTCAATCTATTTTTTATGCATTAGTGATATATATATATATATGGAAAATTACTTGATATATCTTTGTTTTAAAATTTAGATTCCATAATCTTATTTATTTGGGTAAAAACATAAATGATCCCCTGACTATAGGATATTACTTTATTAAGTCCATCGAGTATTAATAGTTATAAAAGATTCATCCAATTATTGGGAGTTGCTTTGTTGAGTCTAATAATTGTTAAAGTTACAAAATTTTCACCCAGCTATTCATTATATTCCAAACTTTTCATTTTCTGTTAACTTTTTTACTACAATATGAGCTTTACATTAAACTGTTGACTGAGGTATGATAAAACTTGAACTCATAATCTCCAACGACTATCATATCCCAATTAGCATGTTAACGTCCAACTCAGATAGCCGTTAATTTTTTAACAGAAAATGATGAGTTTGGAACATAATAAATAGTCAAGTGATCATTTTGTAACTTTTAATATTCAAAGGACTCAACAAAGCAACTCCCTATGGTCGAGGGATCATTTTGTAACTTTTAATATTCAAGGGACTCAACAAAGCAACTCCATAGGGTCGAGGGACCATTTTGTAACTTTTAATAGTCAAGGGACTCAATAAAGTAATATCATATAACTGGGGATCATTTATATACTTTACCCTATTTATTTTAATTTTTTTACCATAAACCCTAAATTCTAAATCTTAAACAAAAACTATAGACATTAACTTATAAACCCTAAATATTAACTCGTAAATCTTAAACTCTAAACCTTGAATATATGTATGAGATCGTAAACTTTCTGTCCTTGAATATAACGAATAACATTAAAATCTATGAGCCGAAATCGTTTTATCCTTTGGAGAGTATGAAGTCATAAAAGGGGCGTGTCATCATTATAAACCTTGCTTAATGCTCTATTAATTAATATATTAATCTTAAAAGAACACTCAAGGACATCGATTAATTAAAATTAACAAAAAGATGGATATAAAAGGAAAGGCAAGGGAACAAGCAATATGATGCTGATCTTGGGCACAAAGATTATGCAATAATTATAATATAAAAGCATTTGACCAAATCGTGTCATGTTAGATAGGAGGTGGATCAACTTTTGCACCTGTTTGTCAAATGTGTTTGAATTAAACCATCCACTTAAAAGGCAGCTTAACCCTTCAACCCCTTTTCATTACAACTGTCGAACTTAACCCAGAGAACGAATTTTGGGAGGGAATCTGGTTTTGATCGAACCAAGACGAGATTTGAAGGGGAGAGGGTTGACTTTATAGGTGGAATTAGACAGGACACCTGGTGCTGTCTTTTGGTACACGTGCCCGAAACATAGTGGTTTGGTCCGAAAGAGGGTCCAGCTAGGAAAGTGTTGACATAATATGATCGGTTTGCTGATGAAAGCTAACGTAGATGAACACTTTTGTGTGGCTAAAAGTTCAAATTTTGGCGAATATGTGCAATGGAATAATGTGGCGTTTTCTTCTCTTGTGGACAGCTTCCTTTAACTACCTTTACCGCCCAATTGTTATCAAGTTTCAGATGCACAAATACGGTCAAGGTAAAAGAATATTTTGTTATAGTTCAACTTTTGGGTTAGGTTCAAACAGGTAAAATTATTTATAGGGTGTTGCTTTCATTGAGTACACTGATTATTAAAAGTTATAAAATAGTCTATTGACTATAGGATGTTTTGTTGAGTCTCTCGACTATTAAAAGTTACAAAATGGTCACCTGACTATTCATTATGTTTCTAATCCGTCATATTTCATCAGAAAATTGATGGCAGTCTGAGCTAGATGTTAATATATGATAAAATTTAATCACAAAATCTTAAACGACTATCATATCCCATACAAACATACTATCACCCAGCTCAAGATGATGTTAATTTTTTTAATGAAAAAGGACGAGCTTAGAACATAATGAATAGTCGGATAACCATTTTGTAACTTTTAATGGTCAATGGATTCAATAAAGTAACATCCTATAGTCGAGAGACTCTTTTGTAACTTTTAATAGTCGAGAGACTCAATAAAGCAACATTTTATAATCTGGCACCATTTGTGTACTTTACCCTGGTTTAAATCGATAAAAAATCAATGATTATCCGTTCTTTTATCATCTTTAATTTAATTCGATTTGATATATAATAAGATTTATGTGACTATTGAACATGATTTTTTAAATAAACATATATAATTATATTTTGTATTTTATTTTTAAATGTAAATTATGTAATTTTTCTTAAAATGTGCTTTTAGAAATTATGAATAATTAATTACATAGTCCACTAGTTAGAAGGGTTAGTCTACACTCAACCTAATTGTTCGTCGAAAGGACCGATAATCAATATTCAACCAATCACGTTAAGACCAAGTTTGTGGCAAGCCATTGTCATGATGTTTAGATAGTGAACTCCTGGATGATATTACAAATCATCATAATTAAGAAGAAAAGTATCTTAATAAATGTGTTGATTCAAGTTAAAATTTCAAAGGGCGGCCCATATTTTAACATCAATCATAATTGCTTTGTCTTTCGATACTCTCATTGCAAAATTGAATAAAAATTTCATAATTTTTTTATGTGTAATGTATATGAATTTCTTCCATCATATTAATCTAGCATACTGAGGTAGGACATCTTAGTTGATAAGGTAGGCAACGTGAATAACTGTGACGGCGGTTCATAACGAGAGTGCCAAGAGGCCGAGATGAGGATAATTTTGGACAAGATATAAAATGAAATTAAGCTTAAGATAGGCACGAACCAAATAGGGATGGCAAACGGGCGAATCGGGTACGGATACCCCCTCTCTTATCTCCATACTCATCTAATATTTTCAAATCCACCACCCGCCCACCACCCATGATGGGTAAAATTTTTCAAATCCACACCTGCCCACTCGGGTATATTCTCAAATCCATCCCCACACCCACTATCCAACTAGAAACGTACCCGACTAGACCCGCCTGACAGCAACCGTAAGTTATACATAAATAACAAACATATAACAAACACGTCCATTAAGAAACATAATAAAATAAACCAAGGATTATCTGAGTTAAGTGTTAACATAGATCTTAAAGTATATAAAAGACGAAATTAAAGCCTAGAAAAAATTGATTCATAAACTTATCCATAATATTTGGTTAAATTATAAGTTATATCTTATACAATATTAAGATTTATAAATTAGTCTCTAAAATTATACCTAAATTCATAATGATCTAAAATTTAATGGGTATTTAGTGGGCCGGCGGATGCGGGACGGGTAGGATCTCAAATCCATCACCCGCCCACTACCCGCGACAGATACCACTTTCCAAATCCACACCCGTTCACTACCCACTAAATTTATACTCATCCTCGTCCCAATTAGATTAAAGTTATACTCATCCTCGCCCCAATTAGAGCGAATACGGTACAGAATCCATGAAATTATACCCGTTTATCATCCGTATAATCAAACGACATTAGTTGGTAATAGACTTATTATTATTAATTAAGATCTTAAATACGAACGCGGAATATATATCCCTTTATTCACTCCCAAAATTATAAAAAATAAAATACTAATATGTACGTAAACAAGAAATGCACAAAAGTAAGAGACACGTGTCAAGAGGCCGGCACCAAATCTCATTGACTTCAACAACCCATTCTGCTCGTTCTCAATAATATATATAGGGTCTTCATCGTTCCTTTGGGATTCACCACTTGCACTTTTCGCCATTTTTCCTTCTAGGACTCATAATTTGCAACTTTAAATTCCTCCAAAGCAAAATCAATGGGAAGAACACCTTGCTGTGACAAAACTGGCCTCAAGAGAGGTCCATGGACACCAGAAGAAGATCTCAAGCTCACTAACTATATTCAGATTCATGGCCCCGGCAACTGGCGTACCCTCCCCAAGAATGCTGGTATGAAATTCTCTCCTATGTATGTATGCATGTATGTATGTATTGGTAGATTCTGATGTTGCTTTTGAATGAACTGTTTAGGGCTGGAAAGGTGTGGAAAGAGTTGCCGTCTGAGATGGACAAACTACCTTAGACCTGACATCAAGAGAGGAAGGTTTTCGTTTGAAGAAGAAGAGACGATAATTCAACTGCACAGTATCTTGGGCAACAAGTACGATTTTTACCCTCTATTCAATTCCATGTTAGTTTAGTTGTGTAGTCGTTTCATAACCTTACCGGATTCGCTTTCGTATTTTCAGATGGTCGGCGATTGCAGCTCGGTTACCGGGAAGGACCGACAACGAGATCAAGAACTATTGGAACACTCATATAAGGAAAAGGCTTCTCAGAAACGGGATCGATCCGGTCACGCATGCCCCTCGCCTCGATTTTCTTGATCTTTCGTCTATTCTGAGCTCGACTTTGTGCAACCAGTCGCTTGTGAACGTGTCGAGCTTGTTAGGTGCACAGGCCCTACTGAACCCTCAACTACTGCGGCTAGCCAACACGCTCTTGTCGTTGAAACTAGAGAACCCTGAAATATTATTACAAAGTCTCCAGCAGAACCAGCAGACTTGTAATGATTCTCAAGAAAACCTAGCTCCTCCTCCCACGTTACAATCAAACCAGCTTCAAGTTCAAGCTCAAGTTCAACCCTCGACATGCTCGACATCGGCCACTGTTCCTTGCTCTTCGATGCTAAGCCAAATGGAACCCATGAAAGCCGGTGGAGAAGAGTTTTTCTGCTGGCCGAATTCCCTAGAAACGTTGGGTTCGCAGCCAAATTATGTTCGGTGTAGTGCGAATCCGACGGTTCCTCTAATATCTGAAAATTCGAACATCCGGTCAGTGGATGGGTGCAGCCAGAACTTTAACATGGATTCTTTGAGGTCAACGCCCATATCGAGTCCGACGCCGTTGAATTCGTCGTCGACGCTCATCAACAGCAGCAGCAGCGTGGATGACGAGAGAGAGAGCTTCAGCAGCTTTCTCAAGTTTGAAATTCCTAATGGTTTGGATTTCAGCGAATTTATGTAAATAATGCATTAAACATCATAGGCTACAGCATTTAGAGTTTGGACCTGTAACGCTGAAAGAATCATCATTATCAGTGATTTTGATTTTCGGCTTTGTTTCTTTTTATGGCTTTTTGGGTTTGTATTGCTTTTATATATACATTTTCCTGTGATTGCTATTTTTGTAACAATCATCTGACTTTATCATTATTTGTGTAGCAATCTTTAACTTTTTAGTTACAATTAGGTCACTCTATTTATCAATTGTTACCATCAACTCACTTTATTTATGATTATAACAATCATGTCACCAAGAGTAAATAAGATAGTTGTATGATTGAGTCTTTGGTTAAGCCAAAGTCAGCAATAATGTAAGCATTTCTTTTCCTATTAATCTCATTATCCAGATGTCACAATACTAATGTGACATGAAAATACTGATTTATGTATGATAAAATGGGTACAATAATACAGGGGGACGCATGGAGAAGAGCAACGGGCATGTGATAAACTTTTACAGCCGAAAAGTCTGAGAAGAAGGCTGACTGAAACTATGGTCCGAGTAGTAAGGGAGTATATGTTTAAAGATTTTTTACAATTTAAAAATCAACACTCGTATATTTTTATATTGTGGATAATAATCTTCTTGTTCAGTAGCTTGTTAAAGGATATAGCAAGGGTATTATCTTCCTTAGATGTGCCATTAAGATTGAGCTGTAAAAAACATTTGATTCTCTAAATTGAGATTTTCTATTAGATGTTTTGGAGAGGTTGAGAGTGCCTGTTCGGTTCAAAAAAATAGATTGAAGCTTGTGTTACTGATTCTAATTTTTTTCATTGCATTCAATGACAAATTGGTTGGTTTTTTCAAATGCCAGAGAGGCATTAGGTAAGGAGATCCACTTCTCCCTACCTTTTGTTTTAGTAATGAATGTGTTGACTCCTTTGTTAGATGCAGTTGATGTAAAGAAGATCTTCCATTATCATCTGAAGATCAGAAAAGTGAGACTAATTCATATGTGCTTTGCAGATGATTTACTGATTTTTTTTCAAAGGGTCATTGAATTCCATTTTAGGAGTTAATGTATATTAGAGAAGTTCTATGTGTTCTTTGGGATAAGGCTCAATGTTCCAAAGTCTGAGATATTTGTGTTTGGTATGGCTACTACTCGGTTCTTGTTCATGAGGCAATTGGTTTCAAGTTGGAAACCTTGCCAGTCATGTACTTGGGGGTTCCTCTAGTTCCCAGAAAGTTGAATGAGAAAGACTGTGTTAGTTTGATGGAGAAGATTAAAGTCAGATTAGGACATTGATTAAATAAGTGGCTAAGTCATGTGTGCAGACTATAGTTGGTTGGGATTGTTTTGTTTAGTATTGTTAATTTTTGGTGCAGACAGTTGATCTTGTCTGATGTTGTGTTCAAAAGGGTTGAGCACTTGAGCAGTTTTGTTCAAGATTTTTCTAAAAAGGGGCGTTGTACCTGTAAGGTGGTCAGAGTTAATCGGGGGAGTAGTTGTACCTGCAAAAATTAACCTTTACTATAAAAAAAAACTACACTTCAATGACAAAAATTTGTATCGAACTGTCAGCCGAGCTATTTGGCGGCGTCAACGACGCCTGTGGTCATAACCTGGACAGAAGCCGCTGCTATCCAGTGTTAGCTGCTTGGCTTTTATGCTGCTCACGCTAGGTACGCCGACGGCTGCGGATGAAGGATTTGGAGAGGGATTGCAGGAACTCTTCCTATGCTGGGTGTACGAAATGCCTTGGCGCTCTCCAAAAGGTAAAGTAATTAATGATAATTGTTCCCTTTTTCTGGGTTTGCGCTAAATCGATGCATTCTTGTAGACCCGTGAAAGTGACATTATCGTTCTGTAAATTTGAAGCTCAAAGGCGGATACAGCAAGAACGGAAGCACGAGGAGCGACAACAGAGCCAGCAAGATGTTCAACCGAGACTGCCAGCTGATGGGGCCGACTTGGCTCCTCGCACGCAACAAAACGGCGTACATACCCGCCGTTTCAGCCGTGCTCCGGGCAATAATGTATCACTGTTTTGATTGGGCTTAATGTTAAAGCTTGGATTCGTCCTAATGGTAACTTCAAACTAGAGAGCCATTGCGAATGGGCTTATTCTTGAATACTTTATGCCGCACATAGATCAAACTTAAGGTCTATGTTGGAATTGTGAATACTATTGATGCGGTCTAAAACCATTACGTAACACCGCAACATGCTATAAATTGCGCCGCAACGCCGTAACAAACTTTAAATTATCCGAAATATAAAATCACATAGATAAATTGTTTTAATTTAATTCTTAAAAATAGATTATAAATATATATATCATTAATAATATCGTAATAGTTTTGTTTAAAATTGGTTACTTAATTTTGAATTAATTAAATTATTTATTCATGTTATTTTAAAATTAAATTATTTTTAAAATTAAATTAATTTAAATTTAAATTAAATATTTCTCATAGCTAAAACTTACAGGATTATTTTTATTTTTTTATTTTTATTATATAAATTTTTATTTATATTGTGTCGTAACCGTCTTTCGGTTGGGCACCGGAATTGGGCTTCGACTTGGATTAAATGATTTGGAGTCGCCACCGACCATTTTAAAAACATTTAGGTGGGCCGGACACCCTCTTTCCAGATCTGCGTTGTACCAGAAACGTATCGGGTTCGGGAGTCGGTTACGGTCAAGGAAGGATTAGCACCCTTGAATCGCCCTTTCGGTACCAATTAATTTATCAGTTGTCTTAATTGCGAAAAATTAAAATTTAAATTAGAATTTAAAAAATTAAATTCAAATCATTTACCTTTGATCGATATAAAAAAATCCTCTAAAAAGAAAAAAAAATGTTAGATAAGAGATGTTAAATAAATATTAAATAAACAAAAGAGATGAACTAAAATAAATAAATAAAATAAAAATTTAAAAGTAATAACATAAATGAAAATAAAAGTGGACCCATAACAAATGAAGGACCAAATGTTGAATTTACCCAAAGTCTATGTCACTAAAAGATTGGATTCTTTCATTGAAGTGTTCTTCCCATGCCTGGAACTTGATAATCCGCATGTAATTAAGCATCTCATTTGTTGCCTTCATTCTCAAGTCACGATTCTTCATCAAGTTAAATTGAAATCGATTATTCCAGATTTTTAATCATAACCTTGGCACACCCCTCGGCAATCTGAGCAAGGGAAATCAAAGCCGCATGGTGCTTTTGCCACCCAGGTGTATCCAAATAAGCAGGCAATTGTTCTGATGCAACAGGAACAATCATGATACCACCCAAAGAAAATGCCAAACGATCCAAACACTCATGCCCAACACTGTAATTGCTTGTTTCTCCAGCATCCTCGTCTTCAGTTTCTGTAGTGTGCCATGCTGCATCATCCTCAATATCCAACAACATTCTCATTAGTATTGCAAATAGTCTACTAATAAATTACGGCAACTTTCTCATCATTCTTGGAGCTCGCTCCATTGCTTCTGCCAAAGTGACCACGAACTCGATCGCCAAATGCCTTTCTCGTGTGATTCAACCTCTGCAATCTGTAGCATTAAGCTCACCATATCGACAAGCTGCCTTCTAAGAAAACGAGGCTCCATCCTAGCCAACCCAATCAATAACTCAAGAGCCTCTTTGAGTGCAATATCTCGCTCCATCTGCAACTCCTTTGACATATCATATGCGGCCTGCTTTGTAACCTTAGCGACAAGGGTTGTGTAACGAGCAGTTTTGGGCATCTTCAACCTCCAGTAGTAGGAAAGAGCTGCTGGATGGTTTCGTTTCATGGCCGAGAGGCCATAGCACCTCTCTCTCTCTCTGTTCCCTTCAATTCTTTTTCTGCCTTGTTCTTGCTCCCCCACGTGAGCAGCTCCAAACGCTCCCAACCAGCACCAAATCGATCAAGTCTTACCGCGCCAACATGCCAACACCTCCAATCAACTTCCAACTGAGCACCCAAGTGCACCATCAGCAAAAACGAATATGCAAAGAGAAAATATTGTAAAAAAAGAGGAAATCTGATTTGTAATCAACGGAGATATAAAAACCCCAAAATATGTAAAAGAGAGGTCTCCCTTTTGATTTTTTTCCACACAAAAACAGTGTACAGAGGCTCCGGCGATGGCTCTTTCTCTTAGATACATCAATGAAACGCTCATGATAGTATCCTATATGTAGTTACAGTGTCACCAAAGAAGATGTGCGAGCACCTACGACATAGCCGATGTTCTCATTTTTGCATTTACTATTGCAATTTTGCTCAATACAATGGGCATAGTTGTGTAGGTCAATCTTTACACCATCTCTATGATGCGGAACTGCAGGTCCAATGAGATCAATTTGAAGAAGAAACCCATAACTCTCTAAAGACTGCAAGTTGAAGTAGCTCCTTCTCAGGTCCAAGCTAGTGTATGTGCAGTTTTCTGACTTTCCATTGGATTTGAAAGAACCCCCCACTTGAGAGAGAGAGAAAGCCGAGCCCCTTTTTTTTTGTCTTTTTGATGCTTTGTTCTTGCTCCCCCCTCATGGCTTGCACGTCCCCATCTTTAAATAACAAGAGGGTCCCCACTAAGTTCCTAGCTGATCCCCACTCAAAACAACTCCCTCCTTGATTTATGATGGCATGGTAGTGGTGGAAGGGTAGTGGACTAGTGGGGTTGAACATATGGTCCTATAAAAAATAAAATAAAAAATTTATTAATAATAATAAATAAATTATAATAATAAAAATAAAAATATAAAATCCGGTCAAAAACGGGTGTCTACAGCTGCCCCTCTTTGCACATTCTTGTGTTAACAAGAATAGGAAAAAGACGAAAAAGACAACCAGTTTTTGTCCGGTCTTCTCAAATGTGATTGAGCTTCCTGGAATTGGGCCTTTGTCTTCTTTTCGGTTTAAAGATTTCGGCTTGAAAATTTATCCAGAAAGCAATTCATCGCTGTCATCGAGCTGAATGAAATCGAACTCGTCAGGTCTTTGGTTGGAAGATAACCCTTCTCGACTTAAGTTATGCTGTAAATGATGTGCCTTAGAGCTGAGCGTAATCGAACTCGAAGGTCTTTGGCAGATAGCCTTCTCGAGTTGGATATCCTTCGTCGTGAAGTTGAAAGTTGTTTATTGACAACCAGCGGTCCCTTCGTCGTGAAGTTGAACTTGCGTTGTCTTGAGTCCAATATCCTTTGCTATGAAGTTGAAATTGACTCTGAAATTGGGAAATTGTTTATTGACAACCAGCGGTCCCTTCGTCGTGAAGTTGAACTTGCGTTGTCTGGAGTCCAATATCCTTTGCTGTGAAGTTGAAATTGGCTTTGAAATTGAGAAGTTGTTTGTTGACAACCAGCGGTCCCTTCGTCGTGAAGTTGAACTTGCGTTGTCAGGAGTCCAATATCCTTCGTTGTGAAGTTGAAATTGGCTCTGAAATTGGGAAATTGTTTATTGACAACCAGCGGTCCCTTCGTCGTGAAGTTGAACTTGTGTTGTCAGGAGTCCAATATCCTTCGTTGTGAAGTTGAAATTGGCTCTGATATTGAGAAGTTGTTTGTTGACAACCAGCGGTCCCTTCGTCGTGAAGTTGAACATGCGTTGTCTGGAGTCCAATATCCTTCGCTGTGAAGTTGAAATTGGCTCTGAAATTGGGAAATTATTTGTTGACAACCAGCGGTCCCTTCGTCGTGAAGTTGAACTTGCGTTGTCTGGAGTCCAATATCCTTCGCTGTGAAGTTGAAATTAGCTCTGAAATTGAAAAGTTGTTTGTTGACAACCAGCGGTCCCTTCGTCGTGAAGTTGAACTTGCGTTGTCTGGAGTCCAATATCCTTCGTTGTGAAGTTGAAATTGGCTCTGATATTGAGAAGTTGTTTGTTGACAACCAGTGGTCCCTTCGTCGTGAAGTTGAACTTGCGTTGTCTGGAGTCCAATATCCTTCGTTGTGAAGTTGAAATTGGCACTCGAGCAATATGTGTAGTTTCGAGAGAAACTTTCAATCTGTCGAGTTGGTCGAAGTGTAGCTTCTTGCTGCCGAGCTAAGCAACCACCATCGTTCTTTAAAGGCGCTTACGAATCAAGTATCCTCGACTCTAAAAGCTGTAAAAATCATGTATGCTAAAATGAGGAATGTGATGCACCTAATTATGTCTAAGACGCATGCAACATGAATAAATTATGTTTTATTTCTTGGACGGAGTCTCGTGCTTTGCCTGCCAATCAGGTCCTTGGAATGGATCGTGCCCCATTTTCTTCCCGAGCTTTGACTTTACAGACCTTTCATATCTGAGACTGTTCTGCTTGAAAATGTTTTTCTCCTTTTTCTTGTTTTAGGAGAGAGACATGATAAAAATGTTGTAAAATATTGTTCGCAATTGAATCAAATTATAAATATGAAAAAAAATATCAAAGGAATCAAGAGCTCTTTTAATGCTTTCAGAGTTACAAATCTTTGACAAATGTTCAAATGGATGAGTTGGCTTTAGGTTGGCATCCTTTCTAAGGTTTTTTGGTAAAAAATGTCATTTTTTAAATATCGCAACATGCTTTGGCACTTTAATTGGGTGCGGACAAAATGACGCAACTAGCATGATCAATTACTAGACCTTTTATCTCAGTCCTCTGAAATCTTTCATTTGTTCAAGCTTTGTAGGCTCTTCCAACAAAGGCAGTGCAAAAAATATCGGTCTAAAAATGAAATTCTTGAGTGCTCGTGTGTAGTTGACTATAACAGGTGTTCCTTAACTCCCTTAGTCCATTTTACCGAAAATTTCTTAGATAAATTTGATTTAATTTGTCATTATCTCGCTAGCTGAATCCATAAAGCCGGGGCATTTAACCAATTGCCTTAGAGGGACAACTTAACATTGTAATCACTCTTATCAAGTCAACTGAAGGGTTCATCTCATCACAGAGTCTTCAACCTGACAAGAGCAGTGGAGCAAACACCGAATTGCCAAGTGTCCGAGCAATGTCATGGTTTGAACGTAATCTACTCATAAGGCCAGGGCTTTCAAGTTTCCTCTATAACCAATTGCCTTAGCGGAATAGCTCAGTTTTTACGGATTTAATTTCTTAAGATTGTCAAGAAGAACCTGTCATAGTCTAGGTGTTTTTGAAAGTCAAGGAATCTCATCTTTAGAGTTCAATTTTCAAACAACTGACCTAAACTGGGTTCACCTACTCGACTCTTTCATTTGTAAAGATCATCATCGTCATTGAACGTCTTAAAAATAAAAAACATAGTAATTGTCATATGCAAATGATGCCCCGTGTTGTCCGCACCTTATGAAAAGAAAAGGTTGTATTGGTTAATTGTAAGAGCAGGGTACGGTGTTTGAGGGTATATTCTGGGTAAGGTCAAAGTCCTTGTTTTAAATCATGTTACTTTGTCAAAAGATTTGTAACTTTAAATCATTTACAGAGTTTCTTAATTCAAATGATATTCAAAGAATTGCAAGTTTGCAAATGTGATTCATTCAAAATTCCTTACAAAAATTTGAGAAGTAATGAAAAACATATTCAAACAGAATGCCTCAAATGATGAAATGATCTTCCTCACTTGAATGCCCCCAAGTTGTTGAAGTCGATCCGATTCTTGTTACATATTTTCTGTATGATTCTCTTGATTGTGGAGTAATTCTCGATAGTGCGCCTTAGGACTCCGCTATGATTTTCGCAATGAGCGTTCTCATCATACTACCTGGGGTACGGGGCTTCATGGACATCTCTGGTTATGGTGACATCACGTGTGCGTCAAACAATTGTTGGTAAAGCTCCTTATATGTCATAGGATCGAAATGTTCTCATCTTTTATGAGACATGTGAATGTAATGAAAAGGGAAAAATAATACGACTGTAAAGAAAAATAACAAAATGCACAATATGTCTGAATGCATGATGCATGAAATGTTCGAGGCATTGATCCAAAAAATGTGTCTGTTACTAGAAATAATCCTTATTGGGGACAAAAGTGTTTTATCTTATAAGAGACAAAAAATATTCTGACAGCTTCTAACATGTTGACTAGTCTTCTGCCTTCATCCGTCATCAGTTGAATAACCTGTCGAACCGCTCTGGCTTCTCTGGATGAACAGTGCAAATGACGAGTTGTTTGCCCTAAAAAAAAAAAATTCTTAAAGGACTGCACCTCCGGCATTTATCTTTCGTTGAGCCTGTTCCCAACAAATACGTCATTGGAGCCCTTAATTGATAGGAACTATGTTAAGTCCATTTGTCTGTTTCTTGAATTCGTCAGTAATGGTCTCCCATTTCAGTTATCATTTTGCCATTGTCGTCTTTGAAGTGACTCTTAAGATCAGTGGTCTTCATCTTGCCCCTGCAACTTCTGCCAGTCAGTTCTTCAAAGATAGACTTTCATTGTGCTTGATGTAGACCCGGTTCATTGAGTCATTTATAATGCAGTATAGTGATATATTCTTCAATCGCGGGCACCACGTCTTCTGGATTAAATGTGACACATAGTCTCCTTGTAGACTGTCCTCTGCATTTTCATCTCTTGTATTACAACCCCTTTGTCCATTAATGCAGATTATTCATATTTAGCAAACACGTTTTTGGTGGATCAACACCTCTTTTAAATGATGCAAGGGATGAAAATAAAGTGAAAGAGAAAAAAAAGTTAGTGAGGTAAAAATAATCATGAAAAATAAAAGTCCTACCCCACATGATATCTACCCGAACATGCTTAATATTTCCTACTCGGACATGATTTCTATCCCGTATGCTAATTTCAAACAAATCCTAACCGCATATTTGTCTAGTTCGCATGCTTTGAACAGAAA